GTCTCTGTGTTCAGAAGCTATCTTCTGTCGTTCAGGCTTGCTCTTAATTTTCTTAGCCTGCAGTTTTTGTCAGTTTTCCCCACCTTGTCTTCTCACAGCATCAGTCTTTTAGGTTTGCTTGCTTAAAATTCAGTATTCCGTCTGTCAGCCCCCATTTGTCATTCTCTGCTTTATATTCTGGGCTAACGCTTCGGAAATTTCACGTCGATCTTCACCATGGCATGCAAACTCATGTTTTCATCATGTTCTGTGGTATCATGAATAAAGCGCATGAAAAGTAAGGTTAAAATGTATGCATTTATCTGACCAAACAAGTCAGAATAAATAGACGAAGTTCGTTTAGCCAGGTGAATTCTTGTGTAATGCGATGTGATTTTTCTGTGGGTTGGTGACGCACTGGATTCTGTACAAAGTGCGTCTTTTGACAAGTCATCGATACCAACTTCTGATCGCTACTAACCAATACCGGAAAGCTGTCACTTTCTTGTGAACGGGACTTAATGCACATAAAATTAAGCTTTTGGCTGTGCAAATGATGATGCACGATAAAAACTGAATAAATTGTGTAAACGGCTTGAAAATACCTTAAGCAGCTGAGCATGCAATACGCCCTCTGATCTGTTATCATGGAAGTTAACCGCTTATTGGCGCATTGTGGCATACGGCGCTTTATATTCGACGATTTACCATACATGAATTATTACGTCCTAAATCCTGAGGTACTTCGGTATCGAATATGGTATTGTTATGTCTAAAAAATGATATGGGATGCATGGGTACTACAAGCGCTTAAGCGTCGTGTGACCTTGGCGTGTTTCAATAATCTTCCTAAACAACTTCGAACCATCGCCGTGAAGTTCGGCTTGGAGGAGTTTAGCTTGCAGTGACAAAATAACGTGTCATAGAAACAGCACCAAATCATCACCATGTCTAAGTTTTAAGACTAATCTTTCTAAGCATCACTGAGTGCAGATCTAAAAATCTAGTGTCTCCGTTTCGCTTGTTTAGGTGCACTAGATAATTGGCACATGATAAAGAAAGAAGTGGCAGAAGAGATAGAAGAATATGAACAAGTTGTAGATTATACCTCTGTCAAAAGCAGTTTCAGCTACAGCTGACCTCGTGAATATTAGAAAATAAACTTCTTGCCTTGCTTCCTTCTTATTCATTCCTTTTAACACTTTTATGAAGCTTAAACTATCTATTATTATTTTACAAACCATTTACAGTCCAAAAATATTCTGTTCCGCTAACGCATGATTAACATTTCAGAAATCGTTAAAAGTTGACGACGTACATGGCGCACTGATATGTATGAAATGCTACGCTACCCGCTGCTTCGAAGAAGGCCTGCCCACGACTGAAATGGTTTTGACATATCTGGATTTAGCGTTTTCCCATGAGGAATATGATAAGTGCTTGACGGTAGTTCTTTTGTTATTGATTATAAATGCATATTTTCTTGATTATTATTCAAGAATGATAAATTCCTTTGTTTAATTTCGTACCATCTTTAACTGAAGAAAGGAGTTAATTTATAGTTTTTAATTTTATGTTTTGCTAACATTCTTTATCATTTTCCTGATTTATTCTTAGGAACAGATTGCGCAGAAAATTAAAATATTATGTTGATTAATTTTTTTTAAGTGAAACTAAATGTTGTAGCATTACAAAGGCTAAATTAAATTAACCAACACCCTGATTAT